CATTATTTAAATCAATATTCGGACTTTAATCATCACATGTTTTAAACAGGTGAAAAAATGTTTTAAACTGTTTTTTTACCATCCCTACATATAATTTTGATATTGATATATAATGTAAATGTAACATGTAATAATCAATTCTATTAAGAGTCGACTAAGTGAATTCTCAAGTACCTATCTCAATGAGCTCAACAAAAATCTGATTGGTCTGTCTGCCCAAACCGACCTCATTGAGGTAGATGCTTGAGGATGCCCTAAGTCGATTTTTAAAAAAATCGAACGACTTAGCCACCCTCATCCGTTTAAGAAAGTTAGCATAGTTTTTGGAAACGAATAAGATCAAGTTAACTTTTTCAAACGGATGAAAGTTAAAGATCTTTTTTTATTTAGAGTTTTATAACTCTAATAAACTTATTTTTCTTTATTTTCTGTAGTTTTTTTTTGGGTTTAAAAAAAAAAAAAAATAGAAACGAGCTAATGTTACGAATTGGGAGAGCTTTTATGATCCAAGCCAAATTTAGTAGTGTCGTAAGTATTAACCGAAAGCGAAAGGATTTTACAATATTTATTCAATTATTCAAAGGGTATTAGCCAAAACGAGAACTACGCAATTCAAAAGAAGAGAACTCTATAGCGATAAGTAATCCATTTATATAGCTCTGTCGAGTAATAAAGCGCTTATGTAATTATATAGCAATTACTACTACTAATAAATGTATGATAAAAATCTATTACGAAAAATATCGCAACACCAATCAGACAAACTTCTTCCTATGAACTTGGCGACTAAACCGACTAACCCCAGGTATAACTGTACGGCAATACAGATTCGGACGGACATACGAAAATTATACAAAATTTTGCCTATTCACCTTATCCTGTTATACGTACGTACGTGCATACAAGTCGATTATTAATCAAATTTGTGATTCAATCTCAAAATGACAAAATAGCCACATTACAGTTAATATCCGTGTGGCATTTTTATTTTTTAATGTTTGTACTGTATACAAAACTTTCGCTACGTATTCAAAAAATAAAATTAAATTTTGCAACGTTTGTTTAAACTCACAAGTTCTTTTAGCAGTTGCACAATCTTTTCCTCCATTTTTTGATTTTCCAAACTTCCATCCTCTTTAAATGCATGAAAAGCCCCAGTTAACATTACAGATGGTCTATCATTAAAAGAAAATCAATTATTTACTTGAAAAAAAAAGGTCTTTCACTAATTATTATTATTTTAAGCAAACTTACGTGTTAGCAGTTATCACGTTCAAGGCAGCTAAAATTTGTCTTAGTACCAATTGAGCACGACCGGATCCCGAAGAACCTGGTGCAGTTCCAGGACCCGCTCCCATTATCGCAGCAGGTTTTCCGGAGAAAACATCACCACGATCACCAATCTTTACTCGACTTGCCCAATCGATTGCGTTTTTTAAAGGACCTTAACATTACGCAAATAATAACATAAGGAATGAATAATGTGAAAGCAAACGTATAGAATATATAATAAAAATTAAATCGATTATTTACCTGGAATACTCCAATTGTATTCTTCAAGTTATAGCATTAAAAATTAGTTGTGCAATTGAATGATGATGAACTTAAATAAATGCTCATATACATGTTTTGGATACGTGTATCTTCACAGGAAATCACAATTTCACGACAATAGATTCATACTGTACCCTAAATGAAGATGCAATCATGCAGCCATCTAACCTTTAAAAAAGAAAAAAAATATTATCTTTCGCATTGTTCTATAAACTGATTATTCGTGAAATGAACTTGTTGGCTAATTGTCGATGATTACATATTTCAACGAAACGATTGTCGGTAAAATAAAGCTCTCCAATGTTGTGTTTTATTTCACTACGGCTGATTCTGATTGTAATCGAAATAATAATACACTTGACCCTCGCTAATATCAACCCATTTGGATTACTCTTATATTCATGTTGATAGTGATATTAATATGGGATCATAGTAAAGTTGATATATATGAGGGAATTTTGATATATAAAAATTTATAAAAATTTGTCTTGTGGTTTAGGTTTGATATTAACGAGGGTCATGTGTAGATATCGAATCTACTATTTTTTTTTTTAGATCACAATCAAAAATGAGTCGTAATGTAATGCTTTTATTCTTACCGGGTGTAGCGAAAAGAAGCGCATCAGAATCTCCGATTTCTTCCTTAAATTTAATAACAGATTTTGGCGGATCTCCTTCCAAATCCTATTAACATTAATGTAAGATATAGAAACGTCATATTTAATAATATGCTATAAACATACCTGATTATAAACGGGTAGTTGACTCCAATCAATGATATCAATCCGAGCTTCAGGTACATGCTCAGCACATAGTTGTTGAGCTCGAAGAATCAGTTTTTTATTAGTACTTTCTCTACGAAGAGATCCACAAATTCCAACAATACGAGTTATGGTCGTCATTTTTTTTAAGTTTAATATTAGTTCAAATATGTGAAATCGTTATTACTATTGTATGAAAATATTTGTTCCAATATGTAAATTTATAGATTATCTATGTATGCTATATAATTAGTAATTTTGCGTGTAACCTTTGCGATTAAAAATCTAGGTTAGTAAATTGCATTGCATAAGCATATAACGATATGATACACGACAATCACGTGTCAAATAATTATTTTTGAAACCCTTCAGCTTATTGTTATACATAATTAACGTTAATTAATTGTTATTAACGTTAAATTTTAATTAAAATTTACTTAGGAATTGGAACCGTTTAACCGCATAAAATTGTTTCGTAGTGCTGGGCAGAATTATGTTTATCGTGGACCAGAATTATCTTAATACCGGCTGAGTTAAACGGTTAAAACGGTTAATGGTTAAACGATTAAGAAAACTTTATGCGGTTCCAAACTGCTCACAACCGTGAGAACTATTTACAAAATGTTGATTTTTTCTGTACGGCGTCCGCACATCTATTCTAAGAAAATTTTGTTTCGGTATATGTCGCATCTGAAGTTGCCCCTTATCTGAAGTTGTAACTTTAGATAACTAAAGTAGCACCTGACTAGAATTATATGCAAGAAAACCTAGTTTCAAGGGCTTAATTCTACTTCAGATATCTAAAGTTGCAACTTCAGATAAATTGTAACTTCAGATACGGCATATATACGCACAATCCGTCACGCAACCTTGGATCAACCAATCAGGGTTTAAATAAAAAATCGCGCTAAAATTTTGTTTTTAACTACCGTATTTGTGCATATGTGCGTTATTTCGAAATTACCATTTTTTGAAGATTGTTTTTTTTGCCTCAAAATAACGCCCACTGTGACGTCCCAAAATAACGCCCTTAAATATGCATATTCATTAATAAAAGCAGTGTCACCCGAATTTGTCAAAATGATTCGAATTACCGCGTATGTGTGTCCCGAAATAACGCGCAGAGTCTCAAAATAACGCGCAGGTGTGCGTTATTACGCGCAAATACGGTAATAAAAAAAATTTTAAAAAGACTTAAAATTGAATACATCAAAAGCTACCTAAATATATATATATATATATTGTAATAAAATTTCTAGATAAAAGTTTTTTGCAATTTTAAGTTTAGCATGAAAATATTTGATGCGAATAGACCACGCAAGCAAGAAATCTGTGCCAGGTTTTGTCTATCATGCGCCTAGATTGATCGAAATCGGCCCGCGTTTAAGATACTTTTAGTATTAAATTAGGGTTAAACGAGAATTTAAAAGTAAGAAATTTACCAAATTTTGAGAGGAATTTTTATTAGAGCACCAAAAATAGTTTATAGGCGAAATTTTAAAAGACAAGTTTTTGTCGATCATAATCGACAAAACCTAGCTGTTAGCACAGATTTCTTGTTTGCCTAGACCACTCACATCATACCTGGATAGTCTTTACCGGGCCAAGTCTCTAAATATTTTTTACATTTTTTAATAAGTGATAAATTCGATAATTGTTACATTGTGACATTGTTTAGCTAATTGAGAGCTCGGTATTCTCTTAATTCTCTCCGACTTATACTATATATAATAAAAAAAATACCTGCTAATGTTATCATACCGAGAAAAAAAGATCCTATACCATAAAGAAAATTAATTGGACATTTATCATCAATATTTTTCGTTGGATCTTCACCCTAAATTAAAAGATCTGTAAGAAATTATGGAATCTAAAAATATGGTGCTGTTCACTTCGTAGACAATCACTTCCCAGACATCTTAGTTCACAAACAAACTTATTTTACAGAAAACTACTTCACTGATAATTCATTTTAAAGACAAACCATTTTACCGACAGTTCATTTCACCGAAAAATGATTCTATTAAGATTAGGGTTAGAATAGGTTTAGGTTAGATATAGTTTATGTAAGAAATTATCTGTCGGTAAAATTATCCATCTGTAAAGTGAACTTGTCCGTGAATTGATTATCTGTAAAATAAACTTGTATGTGGTGTCTAATGATTACCGGCGAATGTATAAATGTTAACCAAAATAAATCTTACTGAGTAATCCATTAATACTTCTCTGTGAGATAGACGAAAATTATAATAACGAAAATTGCTATTTTTTTGAAAAAATAAGCAACAATCTAAATCCTGGATTGATACAATATTTTGGTTGATTAAATTCAATATTACCTAATTTCTCCATTAAACCCATACCAGTACCAAGGGAGATCTCCAATATATAACGGACCATCATTAAATATGATAGATTGACTTTGAATATTTTTGAGACTGTAAGATCCAACCCATCTACCATCTATATAGAAATTTATTCGCTTTTTGGAGTCTGAAAGCGTGTACGCTATATGGTACCACCAGTTAAGAAATAATCCATAGCCATCCATATCAATTACAACTTGATGATTACCAGTAATCGAGAGACATATATATGGAGTTGAGTCCATCGGTTTTAATATGAATGTAGGCGTATAGCTGCTTCTCTCTAAACCTAAATATAAATTCATTTTTATATAACTGAAGAACCTCTTTAAGATGTAATTAATAGTTATGAGTAAATACCTTTATAAAAAACCGCTCGAAAACCAGAAGAACTATGACTTAAAATCTTTATTTTTAGTGTAATTGACAATTCATCTTTTACAACTGGTAACGCTGTATGGTTAATAATTCGACTATAGGAAGGTGTGAATTTAACTGGCTCATTTATTAATTCACGGTATGTTCTTTGTTCCTGTTTTTGACAAAAAACTGGAATTGAATTACTGACAATTATTATTACTAAATAATAGAAATAAAAGCGATAGTAATTCATTATTCGTATTAATTCTCGTAGTAAAAACTTGGTTCTTGCTAAATCCTTTGACCGGTACTGTATATGTACTGTATAGTAAATGTGCCTACATACGGTGCATGAAATCACGAAATCTCAATCACTTTATATGGAACAAAAACAGCCAACTCATCTAAATTTATCATTTTCAATAAAGATTTATTTGTATACAATTGAAATCGTTACAATCCATAATCGGGTCTCCCCAGTGGAATTCTGTAAATTACGTACGTATTGTTGGTAGAATTCGTAACACTAAGATGACAACTACTAACAAAAAGCATCTTTTTTTTTTAAATACATTTTTAATGATCGTTGTTGCATGTATTTTCGAAATTGTATTTTAACATTATCTGATCGCGAAGATTGAGTAATAGATGCTTCTCTTCTCAAACGCTCATAAGCATGGAAGGAATATTATTCAATTTCGGAAACTTGTTGATACCTAATGAATGCCGGTAGATTTAAGTCAACTTTAACAAGTTTGATTATTGTATTTCCTGGATCCTGTAAGCTTTACAACTGTTTTCATAAATACTGGAACAACTGACAGAAAACTAGTCGAATAGTTTTTCGGTCGATTCGGTTTAGTTATTGATTTCGGCATAACAAAATTTATACGTACTGTACGTACAGTACGAATGCGTAATTGTACACCGTTTTCTGTGCCCAGGTTATGCGCAGATTTCCGAACTGCAAATCAGATTTCAAGATAAGGTGTAACGTAACACGATCAAAACAGGATAGATTAGTCTAGAGTTTGGAACCGATTTTATTTTTCATATGTAAAAACCGATTAAAACCGGTTTTAACATATGAAAAATAAAACCGGTTCCAAACTCTAAGATTAGTAACCAAAATTTAGCAGATCGACCAAAATTTAGGGTCGGAATAGGCCCGGAGCTAGGCCGGTATTAAGAAATAATACAAGCTAACTATATTACAGTAAAATTATCATCTGGGCAGCTTTACTTAGTACGTGGGCTATCATTTCATTAGTAAAATTTTGGGGAGAAATTTATCAATTCCGGCCTAAATTTTGGTCGATCTGTGAATTTTGGTTGCTCCACTAATCTATCAACCGATCTTTTTATCAAGTCGCCTATTTCGCAATAAAACACCACATCTAGTGCACTAACAAAAAGCTTTTCTTGAACAATTTTACTATATTGCTACCTAATTTTTGAACGCCAACCCTAGCATTAATGAATTTCATAAAAATTTTGTCTGCGCCACATGCGTTAGGATTATGGTAAATGTTTTTACATTTTTTAATTATATATAAGTTATAATATGATAATTGTTGCATCGATATTTTTAACATGCAATGAAATGGTAATCTAAAAGACCTTTAGCTAGGGATTGTTTGGTATTCTCCCCGACTTATGATACTATAGATAATAAAAAAAATACCTACTAATGCTATCATGCCGAGAAAAGATCCTATACCTAAACCATAAAAAAAATTATTTGGACATTTATCATCAATACTTTTCGTTGGATTTTCACCCTAAATTAAAAGATCTGTAAGAAATCACGGAATCTAAAAATATGTTGTTGCTGCTCACTTCGTAGATAATCACTTTACAGACATTTTAATTCATAGACAAGCTTATTTTACAGAAAATTACTTTCAGACAGTTCATTTTAAGGGCAAGCTCATCTTACCACAGTTCATTCCACCGACAAAAATAATTCTATTAAGATTAGTGCTAGAATAGGTTTAGGTTAGAAATAGGTTATGTAATAAATTAGCTTGTCTGTGAAATAAACCATCTGTAAAGTAGCTTTCTGTGAATTCATTTCTGTCAAATAAACTTGTATGTGGATTAGTTGTCCGTGAGCTAAGGTGTCTATGAATGTCAACCAAAATAAATCTTACTGAGTAGTCCATTAATACTTCTCTGTGAGATAGATGAAAATTATAATAACGAAAATTGCTAATTTTTTAATGAATAATCAACAATTGAAAAAAATAAGCAACTATTTAAATCCTGGATTGACAATTTGGTTGATTAAATTTCATATTTACCTAATTTCTCCAGTAAACCCATCAAAGCTGAGGTGCTTTCCAATATATAAAGGACCATCATTAAATGTGATAGATTGAAGCTGAATATTTTTGAGACTGTAAGATCCAACCCATTTACCATCTATATAGAAATTTATTCGCTTTTCGGAATCTGAAAGTGTGTACGCTATGTGGTACCACCGGTTAAGTAAGAATCCATAACCATCCATATCAATTCCAGAGTCACTATTACCAGTAATCGAGTTACGTAGACATGGGGCTGAGTCACCCGGTTTTAAAAAAAGTGAAGGTGTACGGCTGGCTTCCGTTATACCTAAATATAAATTCGTTTTTATATAACTGAAGAACTTTTTTAAGATGTAATTATTAGTTATATGTAAATACCTTTATAAAAACCAAGTACCAACTAGAACCATGGCTTAAAACCTTTATTTTTAGTGTAATTGACAATTCATCTTTTACAACTGGTAATGCTGAATGGCTAATAACTTGATTATATTCAGATGTGAACATAACTGGATCAGTTATTAATTCACGATATGTTCTTT